CATATATGTTAATTCATCATGCTTGAAGTAGATGTACACATTGTTGGCTGCTTAAAATAATTTTCAAGCAATTTTGAGCTGAACTTAAATCATCAAGTATTTTTGGACAAATAAAACAACTGTACAATACTTTGTCTTGACTGTTAGTTAGAAAAAAATTGAAAATCAAAATTGTCAAATAGCATACTTATTGATAAAACACAGATCAAATTTGGAACTTTTTTGAAAACTAAGAGGTTTTAAGAGTTTGCATTAAAAATGCTCACCCAAGGCTCAGCTGCATCTAGAGAGGAACAAAACAGAAAATGAACACTTAGCATTTAACCTTTCATTAAAAAATAAAAGCTTGCATTTGTTGTGAAAAGCAGAAAAGACCATGTTCTTATAGTTACTGGTAAGCCAGTACATGAGTAAGCGACTTTTCATTATTTTTCTGGAAGCAATCAGTGGCTCATCAATTGTTTACAATCTGATATGAAACATGAGCTGTGGGAATTTGTTAGCCATGAAAAAGACCATGAAATAACCCAGGGTTAGTATGAAATCTGATTTCAGATCTTAAAGCTTTGAAGGAAAATTCAGTAGAATTTTTTTTGTCTACTATTTGATGATTGGATGCTCTAAAAAGAATAGATAAAATTATCCCTAAAGGCTTTTGAACATAAAATGAAAGAAACCTGGATTAGAATTTAATCTTGGGGCAGCACTAAATTATTGGCCTTCAAACAACTGATCCCACTACATTAGCTGGACACCAGGTATGGAATGGAAAATGGTATGTTCTTGTTTCTTTTGTGAAAGGGTTTTAATGGCTACTTCAGTTGATATTCTGGTTGCCTTGTTGCAGATTCTTAAGCTAGAAATAGAAAAAGTGGCTGCTCAGCGCTCATTCCTGTTTCTTTGGTGTGGCTCACATGAAGGACTTAATGAAGGGAGAAAGGTAAAAAATAAAAATATGTAGAAAATGATCAATTGTTGTCTTTTTGCGATGAAACATTTCGTAAAAGCATATTAAAAATATGTTGATAACATTTCAACATTTTGCTAATGTCATAATCAAGTCAAAGAGTGAAAGATAAAATGTTTAAATACTAAAAAGACAATAGGTATTTAAGGTTTTTTTTATTGACTTGATTGATGACCAGGTATTTTCATTGTTCTTCCATTGGGGGTTTTCTTTAAACCTGTTCCAACCCCCTTAGTATGTCTTTTGTTAACAGTGCCTAAAGAAATGGGGCTTTCGTCGTTGCGAGGACATTTGTTGGATTAAAACAAATAAAACCAATCCTGGAAACACAAAATACCTTGAACCTGATGCCATCTTTCAACACACTAAAGAACACTGTCTGATGGGGATAAAAGGAACTGTGAGAAGAAGTACTGATGGAGACTTCATCCATGCAAATGTGGATATTGATCTTATTATCACTGAAGAGGTAAATTGTCATTAGATTATAAAATAGAATGGTGAAAATCTTGCAAGCTGTGGGCCTACATGAAAAATATCTTGACGTAGCATAGAGTTGATTCAGTCTGGTTGTCTCGGAATTCTTTTGGGCTGATAAATGTTACATTCACCTATTTGTTAAGCTCTTATTGCTGAATAACAAGAATGAAAAAGTCAAATAGGATTTAACATGAAATAAAAAGTACATTAATTTCTTGTATTTGGACTGTGATATGAAAAGCTGGGATGTTATAATTTCATATTTTTGTTCACTATTCACTGTTCATTATTAACTGCTCTTACTAATTCTTAGAGAATGGAATGGCATGTGTTCCACATAAGCATATGCAGTAAGATGGAGACTAACATAATTATGATGACACCCCTATCCCCTTTTAAATTTTTCTGGAAGCATATTATTACTATTATTAGTAATAATTTAGTTATTTATTAAGTAGTGTAAGTTGAGAGTTCTTGAAGGAAATAATTAATTGTACCATCCATTTCCAGCCTGAACTTGGGAGCACAGAAAAACCAACTGAGATATTTCACATAATGGAGCATTTCTGCCTAGGAAGACGTCGGCTTCACCTGTTTGCTGTTGATGATACCCTAAGACCAGGTAACATTTCAATAATCTTTTTCCAGTACTTGTACTAATGTTTTTTTTTCTAAATACAGCTGCAATATTTATCGGATTTAAAAGAAACCACAAGCCTCTACACTGACTACATTGTAGTTTACACCAATTTTATGACTAAGGAACAGAAATTTTTTTGGTTTGTCGTGAGTGTGAGACAAAGAAAAATTTTGAGTCCTCATGAGGAAGTGATTTTCAGACCTTGGGATTCCATGCTCATTGCTCTACCACTGAGCCACAGATAATCTGTGGTGAGCTGGGTTAATACATTACCTTGTGTGTAAAGATATTAACCCTTTCACTCCCAAGATCTCTTTAGTAATTCTCATTACTGTCTGCCCTATGATTCTTATGATGTTACTTCCGAGAATTTGGTTTTAGATCAAGTTATAATGCCCTAATTGATTTTTTTCCCTATTCTTGTCACTTGTGTGCTTGTTACTGTTATGATATTGTTAGGAGAAATTCTTTCTTAGGCACTCAATGGAGTTAAGAAATATGGTAACTTCTTAGCTTGGTAATGAAATACATAAAATGTTTCTTTATCTTGTGACAGGCATGGGAAAAGGAAAAAATTCGGAGTTTTGATAACTAATTTTCTGTTTCTATTTTGTGTTTGCTAGGCTGGCTATCTGTGGGCCCCAGTCTTTCAAGTTCAAACTTCTCTGCTGATTTGTACAACTCGTATTTTTCCAGTGGACCAGAAAACCTTATTGTGGGCAGCACACAAGAAATTGAGACTCTTAGACCTAAATCTCCCACAGGAAAACACAAGGGAGATGCTGGAGGACGTGGGGGTGGTAATGCGGCCACAAGGGGAGGGCCTGGTGCTCGGGGAAGGGGCATGGTTCGTGGGGGGATGATGAGGGGAGCAGGATTTCAAGGGAGGGGTGGGAGAGGTTTTGTGAGCTTTTCTGTAAGATAGTTAGGATTCATTTAAACAAGTAAAACATCTGAAAAGTATGTGAAAAATGTTAGCCCTCTCACACAATGTTTCATATGCTTTTCAATTGGTTCTCCAAGCCTAACTCTGAAGACCATTTTCTTTCAAGGGAGGATTTCAAGGGAGGAGTGGGAGGGGTTTTGTGAGCTTTTCTGTAAGATAGTTAGGATTCATTTAAACAAGTAAAGCATCTAAAAAGTATGTGAAAAATGTTAGCCCTCTCACACAATGTTTCATATGCTTTTCAATTGGTTCTCCAAGCCTAACTCTGAAGACCATTCACTTTAAAGCCTGGATAGCAATTTGTGGCCGATCTAATGCAGAATTTTGAACTCAGGCCTCCTAAGGTGATTCCTCAGTATTGCTCAGCGCATCCTGCACTGCGCTTAAAAATGATGTAATCAGGTGAATAAGCATGTGTGCATTCTGAGAATACAGTATTGGTTTTCAATCAGTGTAATATGAAAAGAGGAAAGATGGTCTTTAGCTTTTGACCAAGCATGGTGACCTATACTTTTGTCCTCTTCAAATTGGAGAATTTGAAAAAGTCATCAAGGAGAAAAAAGATACTGCTAAAAGTGTGCCTGAAGCCTGTTTCTCGAGGATGCAAATTATCCCCTAGAAAGAATGATGTGAACATTTTGAGTCCATGTTGTTTAAAATTGCGTGATCTTTCCGTAAGTTATGTACTAAGTTGTTCCATATGCTCAAGTTTTTACATTGAAAACATTGCTTCCAGTTACTTCAAAATGTACCGTAACTCGATGAAATGACATGCATCCTTAGTGTTAGTACAGACATAAATGGGGTAAGATTGGCCCATCATGTTTCTTAAACATGCAAGGTGTCCTATCTGTTTTATTGTATTTTTTCAAAACAGACCTCATTAAGAAACATTTATCGAAAGTTTGCTAGATAACATTGAGGAATCACTTTGAGAAGCCCCCATGCATGAGAAACTAGGGGTAAAAAGATTCTTTACCTAACACTTGATCTTTTCTTTAAAAAAAATTGAAGATGGAAAGGAAAAATGAAATGTCAATCACCCTTCTTAGACTAGCTAACCATGGTGAAATTACAAAAGAAACCTGGCCAAGTGGTAATGATATTTATAACTTTTCCTTTCATGAAATAAAGCTACAATCACAGCAGCAATGTGTTGTTCAATTCTCATATCTGCAATTATATTCACCAGTTGAAGAAATGGTAATTTTTTGTTTCTGTGCCTGAGCTGTCATCCTGATTGTGACAAACTAGTTTGTCACAATTAATTAAAATTTATTTCTATGGTAAGGCCTACAATCAACACAAAACTAAATAAATTGTCAACCCAAAAAAGGGCTTGAGAAACTGCTCTTGAAATAAGATGAACTTGGAAACACTGGCTTTTACAATATTTTACAATATATTCAGATTTAAGTCTTTAGAAAGTGTTTGGACTGAAAGGTGATTCCTCAGTATTGCACTGCACATCTTGTCCTGCGCATAGTAATAATGTAATCAGGCTAAGACACAGGTGCACATTCTGAGAACATGGTACTGGTTTTCAATCAACAGGTATGATGGCCTTTCTTACAAGAGCACAGTGACCCACATTTTTTATGGCATAAATTTGCTGTAGAAATTATTGGTATCCACTTTAAATTGGGGAGATGAAAAAAATTCTTTGAAGGGAAAAAAAAACAAAGCCACAAGCTTGCAAGAAGTCTGTTACTTGAGGATGCAAATTATTATGACCATGAATGGAATGACTCAAGAACGTTTTGAGTTAATGTCATTTAACTTTGCATGATTTTCCCACATATTATATATCAAATTGTTCCATATGCATGAGACTTTCTACCTATCAAGGTATTTCAAAGTGTTAATGGATAGCAATACTTCTAGTCCCTTTAAGCCACAGAGATTAGAATAAGGTCTGGAAGGATGAGCCATTTGGCATTACCTGAAGAAAAGAAATAGAGACCCCAGAAGATACAAACATAAGCTGTTTATTATAAACTAACACACCAAACTAACAAGATACCCTTGTTTCATATCAAATAAACACTTTCAGGTTAGCAAAGTTACTTCATTCAGAAGAGATGAACTACATCACTCTGAAAACAAGACAGACTGACATATTAAAAAAACCAAGACACCAACTTTACAATGGCAACATTACACTACAGTCCATTAAACATCCATCAACCCATCTTCAGTCACTGTGCTTTTCCAAATCTTTTAAATGTTTACTCTGAATTTACCTCAAAATTTCCATCATTACAAAAGGTATAAAAAAGCTAACAAATACAAAATATTAACAAAGTTTGAGCCATTAATTAACCAAATGAATTTTTCTCAAAAAGGTTTCATGATCAGTGTACATTTCCACTGCTCATAAATGGAGGTGGCCTCTCATGCCTCGACACATCTGAAAATGAAGATAATAAATAATTACCAAATATTGTAACAAAAATAACAAATAAATAACCCTATGGATAAAACTGAAACATGTTGGACATAAAATGAATTTTTATACATGGACAGCTTTTAATATGATATCTAGTTTGGAGAATAGACATGTTTAGTGTGTTGCTGAGCTTAAAATCCATTATTTTTTCTTAGAATAACAATTAGAATGTAGACACTTGATTGCAAAGGCCTTAACACCTTAAGAGCTTGAACCACAAATTATGAAACCCATAGACTATATGGGCAGTTTATGTATATTTACTGAATCAGTGATTCATTTTAGTCCTTATTTAGAGTGAAAAAATTCTTTTTGAAAGTTCTTTCATTTCCAAAATGCTAAGACAGTTTCTATCATTCACTGAGTGCAAGTGTTGTGGTTATCATAAAATTGTCTTTCTGATATTCATCCAACAAGAATTTGATGCTTCAACATCCCCCTGCCAAGGGGCAGGGGATATTTGAGGGTAGGTGTTTGAACTTTTGAAGATTGGTTTATTAACATTCTGCCCCCCATGGCAAAAACTGCCTTCAAATGCCCCATCTAAGTGCTGGATCTACTGAAAAGAGTTGACACTACCAGTCACCCACTGTAGCAGGCAAGGTTCAAATTCTTCTCATCCTCAGGCACCAATAACAGTCAAGTGCCCATGGGTTGCTGAGGGGGGAGGAAGAGGATGTTGAAATCTTAAATTGATTGGTGCATTAGGCCTCACTGCCCATGATAAAAGTATCAAGGATGTCAACTTTTTCTGCAATCAAGTGTATACACCAAACTTAATGGAGACGGAAGGAAGACAATCAATGTAAACTGCACCGTATAATTCATCACTGTCAGGTTCTGATGTATGGCAAATGAGTGACAATTGATAATTGTGGACGACTAATTATTATTAGTTAACCCTTTAAACCCTAAGAATGACCAGCAAGTGCATCCTCCTCTTAGTAATACCACTGATGTGCTTCCTCCTCTTAGTAATACCACTGAATCTTTCATTAAGATCATGAGAATAAGAAAAAAAATGTTTGCCAACTTAAGAAGCTTTCAATTGACTGATAAATGAACTCTCCTTGCCAGGAGAGTAAAATACCGATTGATAGGTTCTATATAGAGGAGAGTATGGAGTCTATTGACACTGTTGTTAGGATGTAAAGGATTAAGAACAAAAGTGTTAGTTCTGGTTGTTAAATTGTAGTAGTTAATGTAAATGAGCTGTGTTGTGTTATGCATTGGCCTGAGCAATGAGAGTGGAAAACAGGAGAACACCATGAATGAAAAACAATGATAACTTGAAGTGAACTTTGTGATCAACAATTATGTTAGAACTGATTCAAACTACTTTGCCATAAGACAAGGAAAAAAAACTAGAAAAATGATTCCTATTTTGGACATGGTATACATAAGACAAGTTAAAATTTTTTTCCTGGAGACATTAAATAACTTTAGCCTAGAGAGGACATCATCATTCTCTCTGGCTTCTTGAAAATGTAGAGGTTTTGCTTAAAACCAGTCCAATAAAATGGCCTGAGATCAAGAACTTAGGGCCCAATTTTCTATGGGTTCATTCTTTATTCAATCTCCTTATCATTGTTTCTTTTTTCAAGTACTTTACCAGAAAATTACTCATTAGAAAACTGGGGTGAATGAGAGGAAATAAAAACTATACTATAGCATAAGATGAACTCAACAACACAAAGTAGCTCTTAGTCTAACAAGGATGTATTCTCTGACCAAGTTGAAAACATGATTGTGGATGGATTCAGGTTAAACTTCAATTATAAATCATTAAGTAATTTCCAATTACAAGGTGATTTCATACACAGGAGTTGAAACAATAAATAGAAAACTTTCTATTGGTGAATAATCAACTCAAATAAGGTTCAAATGTATGACATCCATTTAAAAAAATTCCAACAACATGTGAGTGAAGATTAACTCATGCAAGTCCCATGTCTGGAAAATTATTCTGACAGTGATTCACTGTCCTACAATACACACTAAATGAAATTATGATAAGTCAGAAGGATTTTCTGAAATGAATTTTTGCGAAACTTGATTAAATTATTCTGTTTATCACAACTAAAAACTCAGGAATATTCATAGAATGTAAGTGAAAGTTTCATATTTCAGCAGATCATGTGATTTCAGCCTATAATTTTAAATTTATCACTTAGGTAGAAATGTCTTATAAAAAAAAGCACCGGTTTACACCTTACAACTGACAAATTTGCTATTAAAAACAATTTTCTTAGCTGTAATCAGAATTTGCTCTTCCTGCAGGAACTGGGCTGTCCAACCTGTTTTCCACTCCTCTGTTCTCAGACTTATCAAATCAAAAATCTTACTCACAAAGCCACCTTCAGTCACCTTGAGCAGAGCCTGGGTAATATTGGTTATTCCCATTAGGTGCTGACACACTAACACCTGGCTGTGGTGGAAGGCGGTAAGGAGGAGGTGCTCCCATGGGTGGTTCTGGTTCTGGTTCATATTCACGCTGACCTGGAGGGGGTTTCCTGAAGAGGAAACATGGAGAGCCTTACAGAGTTGCCAATAAGTTTTAAGTGGAACTGAATACTTAACTTACTAAGGACAGGTTAAGATGTGTGAAATTATTCCATAATCCTGGGCATGTTTACACCTGTAATCTGACTAAACAATGTAGCATACATGATAACAGCCTTAAACTTTACAGACATTGACCTGCAATTCCAGACCTCTCCTAAAGTAAAGTTAATAATTCTGATGGAGCAAAAAGCAATGGTGTTATTCTGATTCATAATAACCAACAAATTAAAGCTTCACTTACTGCTTGTAAGGTGTGGATGTCTCCTTGGGCTGTGGAACACGATCTGAACTGTCATGTACAGCATCACCATTTTGATGGGACAACTGTCTCAAACGGAAAGTTGCTCTCAGAATGGAGTCATGATGAGACAGCTGTGGTCTGCAAATAAACACATTTTAAAATTATTGTAAAATTACCCTTAGCCCTGAGTCATTTCTAACACACTTTTAAAGAATGTCTGATCTGGATTGTGAGTGGATGCTGCAATGCATATGTTTCATAGCTTAACACTTTATGATAAGTAAAAACAGACTACCAAGGATGGAGAAACAGAGGAAATGAAAATGTGTCATAATCGTAGCTGAGTCAGTGGTGTAGGCGAGACAGAACATTGTCAGATGAGTAATTTTTCTCATATCTATGGATGGCATTGTCACCACATGTGACAAATCACAATTCAAGCTGTACATGGTTGTGTTAAATATTGAGTAAGGTATCACTTAAACCAGATGGAAAAAGGAATGAGAGGCAAAGATGGATACAACAGTACTGTAATCTAAAATCATCTGCTTATAAGGTGACATTGCTTGATTATTTTTCATGGTATACTGTTTTATAGCTTTTATTTATAACTTATATTTTAATGTACATTTGATAATGACACAGCAACACCTTAATTGGTCAAAATTACAAACCTTGGAGTTTCAGAATCCCTCTTTGGCCTAAAAGACAATGATGAAAATGAAATGTAGCTAACAAAGTGGCAATTTAAAATTTACCATTTAATAAACATTTGAGTATGAAATTTACTGTATCAGAGCAAAAACTTGGCCTTTCTTGTGAATAGCAAACAATGGGCTGTACCACATGTAGGTGAATGCAAATTTTCCTCTAGGTGAAAAATGAACAACACTTGAGGTATTGTGAATTGTATCGAACTAAAGTTTACAAAATCATCCAAGATAATAGAGCAGTCTTGTACTGAGTACTGAAAGTAAATTCAGGATTGTATTAAATTGGTTTGCTTCACTTTGCTCTGTGATTGGTCCAGTAGACTTCAGCCTCCTTCTCAACAAATCAGGTTCAAAACTAAAACCACTTGCAACTTGGTCACTAAGAGCCTTTTCCTTAGCTTTAACCAGTTTGCGTGTTTTTACTTTGAGTTCTCATTCACTCCTGGTGGCATTTTTCTCTGTGCTGATTGTCTGTTGTGATCACTTATTTTACCACTGCAGAACATTACTTTAATTATTGTTTCCTGAATAGGACACTGAGTTTTTAACATACAAAAACTTTTTTTTGGTTATCAGGATGTTCCACATGTGTTTTTTTTTACTTTTCTTTTTTACTAAGGTTACTGAATATTAACCCTTTGGAGATGTAATGGTTTTGGAAATGGATTAAACTACTTGGATACAACAACAAAGGTTTTTTCTCATGAAAAATGATAAGAAAAGACTCTAATACAGTCAAGTAACAGAAAATCATTGTGGCTACCCAGACTTAAGCTCACCTTCCTTCACGAAAGCAAAACATGATGATGGCTAGAATGATTGCTATGATAACAACAACAGCAAGCGGCAAGATCAGTATAAGGAGAAAATCACTTCCAAAGTCCCTGATGGAAGAGTCAAACACAGGTGCCACATATGTTGATTCAACAAATCCTTCTCCGCTGACCTCTGTTGTGGTGGTATTACTGACAACAACAGCTGTGTCATCCTTATCCATCTGTAAGGAAATACAATTGTAGGAGTGTTTTGAAACATTTTCTCACAAGCCTTCAATTAAAAGAAAATCTCAGTTTTGCACTAGGGAATTTCTCACTTGAAGTTTCTTATCATTTTCAGTGTTCTAGAGCATGTGAATAGAATGGAAATCTTTTACTAAACAATAAATTTTGATCAAAAAAAGTATCAAACCTCACCAATTTAAATTCACACCAGTCAATTTCAAAGGGTGGGAACTTGCTGTTGGATGAATCCCGTAACCCTGCACAGCCTCTGTGTTCTTGTTTGAGCACTTCATAAGTTGATGCACCCCCAACTGTGATATAGACTCTGCAAATGAGACAGTTTTTTTTTTCTGTGAGTGGATATTCTGATTAAAAATTGAATAGGACACAAAAATTTCATTTTGGTCTCACATCATTTTATTTCTCCATAACAAAAAAATCAGAATTCTTTCCATGTTTATTCTCTAAATCTAACAAACACTATTTTCATTTGGTAGAATAGAACCAGGTTATCTAATTTTTCAATTTATATGATGCTCATAGCAGTGGCATTCAAATTTATTTTTCATTCAGATACAAATAGTATTCTCCTGTACCTTCAGGCTATTCTCTTGCTCCTTTTTTTATATTCCCAAATGAAGATTCCTAAATATTTTATTTTTGGATGGCCATTTCCTAAAAATCCTACCCCTCTTTCTGTGGTGGAATTGGCACCCTGCCTTTTCTGTCCAGTTTTGACTCCACAGCTGTAACTTTCACTCCACCAGGTTGTGGCTGCCAAATCTGCTTCACCTTTTCCACAAAGTTTACACTTTCCTTTCTCTCCAGGAATTCATCAATACTTCTGTTTTTTACAAGAAACTCTGCCTGGTAACGTGGAATATCTGTAATTTAAATTCATAGATTAGAATGATTAGCCTTTGAGTGTTAAGAAAGGCTCTGTATTTAAATCATTTAGGGTTGCGAGAATTTGTTTCTTGATATGTAGGTTAAGTTTTTTACTCAAAGAGTTTCATTCCTATCTTAGCAGTATGCAGGTAGTTTGTCCCCATAGACCTAGTCAAACTGCATGCCACAAATCTCCTATAGCTAAATGGTAGAGCATCCAAACTACTAATCCAAAGGTCATCAGTCTGACATCTATTAGGAGCACTCAGTCCTATTTCTTACTGAGTATGCCTGTGTTACTCACAATAACATCTTTCAGCTTCATGGTTGCTGGATTTTAAAGAATTTCTTAGAATAACATGGCACCCCCTTTTCTTTTTATGATAGAAAGTACAATTTTAAGTGACTCTCAATCTCTTCCCAGATCAAGTTTTTCCTTTGAGGTACAACTCCAAAATCAACATGACAAATTCAATACCCCAAAACAATTAAAACTTGGCAATTTTTATCTAATAGACTGAAAACAAATCAAGTCAAGAAGTTAAACTTAAATATCTGTTCAATACACAATACTATCTTGATTCTAGTTACCATCTCAAACAACTTGAAGTGAAGATTTGAAAAATCACAAGTTAAGGTTCCAAGACCATCACTTTCTAATTGTTCTACACTTAGTCATTAAGTAAATTTTAATTTGAAAGTGGCATAAATAGTGCAAACCTTTTGATTTATCAATGTTAATAACAACATCTTGTCTTTTGGTTGTGTAGTCTGTTTTATTCCATGCAGTAACCTTAAGGAAAAGTGGTAAAAAATAAATATCAGTGTTAACATACGAACTACGTAATGATCACCCTTGCAGGTCACCAACAATTATTAGTGCAAATAACAATAATATAATTATAAATTTTCAATGGAACAATGACCCTAGTTATAGAAAGAAAATTTAAAATCAAAGTCCCATAAATTTAATGCTCAGAGCCAAACTCTCCAACTCCACTCCCCAGAATAACTTACACATTTTCAAGACCTCCAGGCAAGAAATTCCTGAGAGAGAGGAGCACATTAACTCATGAGTGGAGAGAGGGGGCAGTAAGGGGTGTGTTACAGGGTGCGTGTTGGGTGACCAGGGGCTCTTTGGAAAGAGGGGCTTGTTAGAGTAAAAGGTAATCTAACAAACTCAATCTTGACAATAAAAACACCACACATTCTTTTTCACTCTGACTACTGAAATTGTCTTACCTCCAAAACAACTTGAATGGACACATCACGCCCAGGAGTACCATAGATAAATGCTCTGTCTGAAGGCTCACGCTGTTCAAGGCGTAACCAAGTGGGAAGGTCAGGAGATCCTGATTTGGAAGCTATAAACTTTACAGGATCAGCTGGAAGTAAAAGATGATCATCAATCAGTTCATCTAACTATGAGTATTACTTTAATTGAAAGAAGATGTTCAAACAATAAATCAATGTCATTCAGGGTTGACTCCTGAAGAACTGTAGAAACAGAAAAATAGTAATCATGTTATGAGAGAGTATTCTCCATGTCTGATTAAAGAATAGTTCGAGTTGTCAAATTTTAGTCAGAAAATTCAGTACAGCAACAGGAGGATTTACTGTTATCCACTGTATAACAAACAACTTGGTAATTTTCTCATTTTTGTTAGGATTCCTTACACAATATCAGTTGTTTTTTTAGTGGACAGGCTTTAGGGTTTCTTTATGAAAAGCATCATTGTTCTATTCTGTGAACTTGTTTGAAAACTTGATAATTAAATAATTTATGTGCTAGACTTTGAAATGGAAATCCTAGTTTCAGCCAAGACCACAGTGACAAAGTGTTTGGTTGAGTCAACATTTCTCATAGCGCCTCTTTTCTGGTTATACCAGAATAGAAGTCATACAGCAGCAATACTGAGACCAACACTGCCAATTAACAGGATGATACTCTCCATATATAAAAAAAATAATCAGTGTAAAATCAAGTGATTCAACACCATAAGAGAGCTGTCAATTGAAGTGACATCACATAATGGAAAGTGTGAAAAATCTAAGGAAAACTATATCAATAATTTTGTAATTGGACAAAATGGACCATTTCTGTAGAGTGCTCATTGCCCTGTAAAAAAACACCAAAGGCAACTGTCCAAGAGTTCCCCCCTCAAGCACAGAGTATTTAAGGGTTTTCACTAGACTGCCACTATTCCTTAGTCAACCCAAAACATTGAACCAAAGCTAAATTATAGTTTGAAGGACTGAGCTTGCAAACTCTTTTGTACATAAATGTGAACAAAATTATTAATAATAGAGTCAAGATAGATAATAATTGCATTTTGTAGTAATCAACAAAAAGCTCTACTTTTTATCTCAAGCAACACACAAGTATAGCTTACTAAAGTTAAATACATCACATCGATTTTGTGACAATAATCTTACTTTTCCTCAGACCTGAAAAAAAATATTACCATCATTCTACCATGAAATTGTGAACACTTACAAGGACTTGAACTAAAACCTTGGAAAAGAAGTTCTTTTTGAAGAAATATTCCAACCGTAGCATCAACAGTGATATTGACTGCTACACATAATTGCATGCACATCAACAGAACACCTGTAAAAAAGATATTAGATGAGCATGTGTGAATGCAATATCCTTAATGAAGGATATCACTTTGTGAAGGATTATGGATACTGTGAGGTTATATGAGGTGATCTTAAGTCTAAAAATTTTCACGTTTTGCCACAAGACTTTTTTTGGAGAACTTGCTCATGAAAATACAACTTAAAATGAATAAAATTTATCCCCTCACATTTCTCATATTAACTGTGCACAATTATAAGTAAGTATATTTCTGTACGATCCATTCAAAAAAGATTTTGTATTCAAGACAAAATTAATTGTACGAGTGTACATTAACTAGGTCTTACATTTATGTAGCTAAAATGTGACCACTATTGACAGTATACTTAGAGAGATCAAAGTTGGGAAAGAACTCTAGGTAAGAAATGAAGATAAAAACGAGAACAAGTTCGAATTTAGAGAAAGTTTTATCAGTAAGAAAGTTATGCTTTTTCTTAAATAATAAATTTCGTGTTCTAATGAAGAATTTCACGCTAAACGTATAGCTACAAGAGCAATGTGAACTTTTATACTCTGAGGTTTAATGTAAGTTTCTTACCAATCCAACCAGCTTGTTTAAGAATTATCATGTTCCACTGTGAGCGGTTTCTTAAACAATCCAAAAATGTTCAATGAACGCCCTTCCTGCAAGTATTCAACGAAGCAAGTCGAGTGTAGGAGGCATCATTCTGAATGATTTGAATAAGACCACTGTGTGAAATCGCTTACCTTGGCTTCCGTAGTGTCTTTTGACGATACCGTTTGCTCCGGATGGTTTCAATGACCGTAAGTGCCACCAAGAGTGGAAAATATAAACAACAGGTTCTTTACTTAAAGCTCTAAAGAGTTGGAAATATCACTTACACGAAAATCTGCACGCTCCCAGCCCCCTTCAAGCTGTTTTGGAATGCGTTGTGTTGAGAACAACGACGCCTTAAGGGAATAACCGCTGACCAGAATAACAAAGCCCCAGGCCCTCTGTGAGTGTCACTCTGGATATCCCGGATGTACCCCCTCTCTCCTTCCTCTTTCGTAGTGGCTGTGCAACACTCAATCTAGTCGAGAAATTGGTCGGGTTTGAAAAAAACTCATCCACACAGCCATCAAACCTAAATCACACCTCCATCCGTTAGAAAAATGCCTCCTAAGTTCGATCCTAATGAGATCAAAATCAGTAAGTAAACCACATGGAATTAAATCCTACAATTTCGACTTGAGTTTCTCTTGGTGTCGTGTTATAAAAGTTTCTTTTTTTGTTAGTCTACCTCAGAGCAACCGGTGGAGAGGTTGGTGCCACATCTGCTCTAGCACCTAAGATCGGTCCTCTTGGTTTGGTGAGAAATACAATATTTTTGTTTTATTTTACCTGATTCTGATGAATTTTTTTCTCGTTTATTTGTGGTAGTAGTAGACTTGTGAGGACGAATCTTCTTGCAGGTAGCACATGTGTAAAATTCCTGAATTGATCAATAACGTACATCCTTACGTAAACCTGATTAAGCCTCAGGAATGCAAACCAAGGTTCATTAGTCAACAGAACATTTTAATAAAAATAGATAATTATACCTCACATGTAAACATTATACTATTTATTGTAACTGCATCATTTGTTATTCAACTTTCAGTCACCCAAAAAAGTTGGAGATGACATCGCCAAGGCAACAGGGGACTGGAAGGGGTTACGTATCACTGTCCAGTTGACAATCCAGAACAGGCAGGCCAAGGTGTCAGTTGTACCAAGTGCATCATCACTCATCATCAGAGCTCTGAAAGAACCACAAAGGGATCGCAAGAAAGTCAAAAATAGTTAGTAATCTACTTCTGTGTTCTCCGTGGTGTAATGGGTGATTGATACCATCCTTTAGTTTAACCCTTTAAACCCTAAGAGTGATCAGCATCTAAGTTCTCCTCACAATTGTAATGCTAAATCATCTATCAATATCATGAGAATATTAAAAAATGATTGCAAACCCAAGAAGCTTTGATTACTAAATGCTTTCCCCTTGTCAGTATCAAAGGAAGTGTACAGAGAAGAGTGTAGAGAATATGGTTACTGGTGGGTGTAAAGGGTTATTCATTTATATGAAGAACAGTATTCTCCCATTCATGTGGTAACCAGCATAATTTACTAAAATTGCATGGAATTCTTTAAAATACTGAATTAAATGATGTCACATGATGCACTCTGATTGGTTAGCAAACTTTCATTTATTATATGTTAAATCCTTAGCCTTAGTCACTCTATGTTGATGAACTAGCATTCAGCTCATTGGTTATAATTGTTCTAAGTGTTCTTCTAACATCTCTGTGGGTTATTACATGTATGCTAGGACATTCAATATAGGGTGCAGTCTATTGCTTAAATTGGTAATTTGGACCACTCAAACAACTAAGACCAACAACAAGTACAGGCTTGTTCTAATTCTGAATTCTGTGGGAATTTGCCAAATTGTTCAAGTTGAGATTGCCTGGAGTAATACACTGACTTTTGTTTCTGCAGTAGGAGTAAGATTGGCAAAACTCAGGGTGAGATGCTAATTTGGCTCTAACCTGTTTACTCCCATGATCTTGTTAGTACTTCTCCTTACCATCTGCCATACAATTGTTAGGATGTTCATTGGGAGAATTCGGTATCAGATCAACTAATAATCCCCATCATTCTCATCACTTATTTGATTGATTTTCTACTGATGTTGTGAGGAGCAATTCTGTCTTGGTCTTTTATGGAAGTCAGTGTTGATTTCATCTGTAAATACCAAACTATTCTATTGATTAATGATCAGTAACAAGAGAAGGGAACCATGTACTCAAACTGAGTGGCTTGAGCATACATGTAACTAAGTAAGTTTTTGTGAGGTTGAAATATGGTTTAATTTCTCCCTGCCTTGATGCAATGCCATACCATTGCAGGCTAAGCATTCCTCGACACTTTTTCAGAAAATTCTTCTCAAAATGACCAAATTTGTTTTTGGACCAAGACCAAATGGTCTTGGTCCAAAAACAACCTCAGGATATTGGTGTAAGAATTATGTTTGAGTTTTGCCTGGCTGGAATGCTTGTTCAGCTGAGTTTATCTTAACATTATGTGAAGTTTCCATAATCTTTTATGACAATCTTTTTTTGGTTCTGATAAAGAACTTGGCACTAAAACAAGTGATAATCCAACTGAATTTTTTTATTGAACAGTCAAACACAATGGTAATTTGACCTTGGATCAAATTATTGAGATTGCCAAAACCATGAGGCCGCGATCAATGGCTCGTTTACTGTCAGGTACTGTCAAGGAGATCCTGGGAACATGTCAATCAGTTGGCTGCACAGTAGATGGACAGCCTCCTCATGATATCATTGACAAGATCAATGACAATGAAATAGAAATTCCGGTAGGTATTAAGCTGCTCTTAATCAATTATATTTTAATTGTTTTTAGCATGAATTTCCATTTCCAGAGCCATATCAGGATGTCAATGCACGTCCTTGTCTCTGTTGACTTGCAGTTTTCTTTCTGGTTGATTCATGTTAATATCCAAAGTCAGTTGCAGCTAATAAATGATGGTCAAATTCTATTTTCAATCAGTTCACAGGTAATTTGTACCAGCAAACATGTACTTGCCTGTAGCTCAGTTAGGATGCCATCAAACTAAAAATTTAGACTTGAATGCAATTCCCAAGGTCTTTAATTGTATTACACGGGCCAAATTGGATGTAAACTTGAACTTGGTCATAGCATTCTTGGTCATAGCATTCTTGGTCATAGCATACCTGTGTTGATTGAATACAGGTGCAGTTAGGAGCTAATGAAGTAATGTCATTGTCTAAACACCACCCTTATCATCATGAAATTTCAAGGAATATTTCCAAACTAACAGTACATTCTCTTTTCTTTTTTTTTTTTTTTAGGAGGAATAAACCTTGGTTTTCAATAAAGAATAAAAAAGAAATAAAATATTCAAACCATCAACCAAGTTGTTGTTTACTGTCCTTATCATTTCATACACTGATGTCTTATCTCTTAAAACCAGGGGGGGCACTAGGTAACAAGGGGTCATTTCTTAAGGAGGTTCTGTTCCTCAGGTGCGTTTGGTGAATACATTGTTTTTCTATTCACAGGGTTTGTACCCTTTTTCAGAAACAAATTTCATGGACTCCTTCAGGACTCAGATGGATTTTTCCATGACTCCAAATTTCGCCTTGCACCCTTTCATTCCCAATTTTTCAAAATCAACTCTCCTTATGGTTTAGATGAATTTCTTTCCACATAAATTCTTGAAACTTAATTGCTTGAGTTAGGATTTCCAGGAATTCCTAGTCCTCTAGTCTTTATTCATGACTTTCCAGGTTTTCCAAGACTTGAATGAACTTTTTATCCACTAGTAAAATAAATTACATGGGTACTAAATTCAGCTGAAAGTGATTTCACTGACAGAGGTTGAACTGGTGTTTGCAATTCAGGGTCCAAGAATTGCCATCGATTTTGAGGAAGTGTGATTGGTACCTTAACCTTTAACTGACCATTGACTTTTTGGTGAAAACAAATCAGAAAATGTTTAACTTCACAAATTTTCTTTTCTCTGACCCTTCACCTTCCCTGTGATTGTCAGAATTTGTGCACCATTCAAGTCCAAGCATGAGAATCCACCAAGCCCATCACATTTGCAGAGAGCAAACTATTTACTGTAACTTAAACTCTGAAGGAAATAATTGTACCTAACAATTGCTATCCTCACCTAGTCTTTCAACTGATGAAAATATGATTAATTTCTGAGAATTTTCCATGCAGATAGATTAGGACCAGTAAAACTGGGCAATGTTGTGGTGCAGTCCCGTTATAAATTTTGTGATGGTAATCAAGATATTATCCTTACTAAAAGTAGTTAAATGCTGGGTAAGCACCCTTGATTTCTAAACAAAGCACCAATACTCGAGGATTTCAGTTCATCAGTAACTGGTAACAAAATACTACTCTTGGCAAAGTGTTTCCCACTTGCAAATTTATTCCCTTCTGCTATAACATCATTGTGAACCCAAGACTGACACTGTGCCAAATCAGATAACAATTTGCAAACACATGTATCCCAGTTAAAAAAAAGGCAATACAAGGCTTGCCAAGAAAAGTCATTTTAATGGAGACAGTTTTTGCTAAAACAAGCATTGACTTCTTTATCGCTTCTACTAGCCCTGGATGGGTTGCAACAGAAAAGGCACGGTAGTGTAGCATCATTGACTGGCCCCTAGCCAAGTGCAATGCTGGGACAACGTATCATGTTCTATCACTTCAGCTTAAGTGCAATGCTAACAGTGAATCAGCTCAATATACTATATTTAGTAGAGATAATGCAGCTTTGTGCAATGCTGCAATCTAAAACAAAGCCAAACAAGAAAACCTTATCTTCTGCTCTAAAAAGAAAAATAAGGTTAATTCCATAGAAAAATGTTGAAATGATGACAATACAAATTTATCATACAATAATGCAGCTATGTGCAATGCTGCAATCTGAATAAGAACAGAAAAAGTAAAATGCAGCTGTGTGCAATGCTGCTAATACAATCTAACTATCGCAGCAGTAAGGTGCAATGCCACTAATACTAGATAATTACTCTTATCATTCATGAAGTCTCTTATGTTCCACTAACTGTAATGAGCTTATAAAAAGATCAGGATTAAAATTTCACAATAGGATTAAGAAGTCTTTGTCACAATCTTTAACCATGATGTAGTTCAGATTTAAAAGAGCAAGCACATGCCCTGTGACACTTAACCCCAACAACATGTCCTAACACAAGTTGAACCAGGTCTAATGACAACAAAAAATTCTGACAATAAAAAGGCTGTATACAATGGCATTCTCATGGAATATGTTAAAAGAACTGAGTTTAATGCCAATTACTTCTTAGCATAGGTAATCCTCATGGCATTTGATGGAGTAATTCTGAATCCCTGCAAAGAATCTTTAGCTGTTCCAGATTGCAATTCATTCTCAAACTCCACAAAAGCAATGTCTGAACGTCCTGGTACCAAGCGAACTTCTTTGAATCCCGGAAACCTGTGACAATAAAGAGTACGGACAAAGAAACACAAAATAGCAAGAATACTGTCATTTAAACCATTGAAACAATTTTTCATCAAAACTTCGACAGGCTAACCCAAATTGCAATGTACTTTATGGCACCCTCTCTAGCACAAACAGCAGGGGAATTAAAGGAAGGTTCCCATGGTAATTTTAGAAATTTTAGAGGCAACTATGTTTATCCAGGCTAGGTAAGAGAACTCTGAACTTAAGAGGGATTGTCAGAGAAACAGGTACTCTTGCCCCCACATTAAAAGGTTTAACTTTGAAAACAATGGAGACCTTTTTAAATAAACAGATATAAATATATAACATCAGGCTGATACTTTTCAATTGAATTTATGTGAATGCCATTAATTGAATCACCAACCATTTTGGTGTTTCATGTCCTTTTATCTTCCACACCCTGACATAGATATAAATATTCTCTATACTGTTCTCAATACATTTTCTAAGAAGCTGACAAGGAGAATTTGTTTCACAATCAAGAACCCCCCAAGAGTGACTGGCATCTGATTTCTCCCTGCAATATCACCCCTGATTCAAACATTGAGATCAAGAGAATACAAGGAAATAATTACCAACTAAAGGAGCTCTTGATTGTTATACAAATTCTCCTTGTCAACACTATAGGAAATGTGTAGAGAACAGTACAGAGAGCTTGCATACTGACATTAAGGTGTAAAGGGCTAAGTAATAATGGCTGTATTATAATCAAGAAGGCTAGAGTCTGGAAATGGTACTGGTTGAACAACATAGACAACATAATTTCTGTTGTCTCCATGGGCAGGTTTGTCAAGAACAAAATACTGTTGGGCTGTTCGGGTGCTGCCACAGCAACCTGCACTGGAGTTGGGATGGCTGTGGAACCAAAACAAAATCAACAGAGTATTAACAATCAAAACTATCGAAACCTGACTAGTAACTACTATGCAGACAGTTTGGCACATTAAACAAAAGATATTACATCTGATGATAAGAACCTGCCTCAGTGATTTACTAGTACAAACAAGTAAATAAATGCTCCTTGCAGGCAAGCTGTAAATAAAGACACAGCAAAAAGAAACCTTTAACCCTGACTTGTTTCAGTTGACTGTTATTGGGTTAGGGGAGGGTTAAGTGTGCAGTTGCTCAGAGACTGACATACACTGTAAATCCAAAAAAGGCCATACTTCAATGGGATTCAAACCTGTGCCTCCTAGATAATAGTTAAGTGCTATAACTGACTGAACTGTGAAGCCACATCTTGGGAGTAAGACAAATTTCAGTAAAAATTTCTTCTGGATTTCCCAAAAATACAGTCATTGTAAAGATATTACTGAAGAGAGTATTACCATTTGGTGCAACTGGGGCAACTAAAGGCTGAACCACAGCTGTTGGATTTGCTTGGGCTGCTGGCTGTCGCTTGGCAGGCTTTGCTGTTGTCAGAGTCACACAAAAAGAAAAACATTCCCAAACATGTTGATGGTTGCAATTAATAACTTTCTTATTAGAAACAGGCCTTAGCTAAGGAATAGAAAAATCACCCTGGTTTATAGACTGTTCAATACAATGTTTGATTCCCTGTATTTTGTACAGCATACATGTATATGCAGATATCCAGTATTTGTTACTAACAGTTTTTTTTCCCATTAATGTCAGTTATTTTTGCCTTTCAATACAGTATCCAGTCAAGTTGCAGACGGTTCAACTCACCAATTTATAAAATCGAGTAGAGACGTTGGCGAGTTGGTCTTCTATCCAGTACAACTTATAAGAAGTTAAACATATAGAAAAGTAAAAGTTCTTTAATGGAAAAACAATTTTGTTTCTTCCAACAAAGTTTAAAAGGATCTCATGGCAAATAAAGGTAAACATTGCCAATGACTATAAAAGCTTCAGATGCAAACAAGTTATTGTGCGACAACAACACTTTAAAGACTCATCATGTCAATAAGTGAGATTTTTAAAGAAAACTTGACCTTCTAGACAAGATCTCTAGCAAAAACGATTCTTGTTATTTCCAACAAAGTTTATAAGGATCTCATGGCAAATAAGCAAGGTGAACATCGCTAATGACCATAAAAGCTTTAGATGTGAACAAATTATTGTGACAACAACACTGTAAAGACTCAGCATGTTGGTCAGATTTTTTAAAGAAAACTTGGCTTTCTAGACAAGATCATTAATAAAAAGCAATTCTTTTTATTTCCAACAAAGTTTATGAAGATATCAAGGCGAATAAAGCAAGGTGAACATTGCCAACGACCAAAAAAGCTTTAGATGCAAATGACTCAGTTCTTAGTGTTGGCAAGTTGAACTGTCGGCGACTTGACCATAATTCTTCAATACCCTTCCACCAAAATAAAGCGAAAAACATTTCACCAATAAACAAATTAGAGCTATAAAACACAGAGTATGTTGATTGCTATGCTTGAGTAATATGGGATTTCTACAATTATTTCTATTTTTAAACTGCCTATCACTCATTGAAATACTAAATACATTCAAAACCTGGTTTTCCTCAAACACAAACATCTGATTCTACTCAATACCTTTCTTCCAATCTCTCAAACAACTAAATAGGAAAACTTCTCCTGTCCACTACTGTTGCTAAACATTTTCATATCATAACAAAAAGTGCTGAAAATTAGATAGCAAATGTTTTGTTTTTTCCATTTGCTGATCTGGCTAAATTAGCTCTCTCGCGTCAAAGATGAATTCAAAGATTGATGTTTAATGTACTCTATACCTTGTTCTGGAGCCTTTCTCTTCTCTCTGGGTTTTTTCTCCCTCTGTACAAATGTTCCATCTTTTTTTGCGACAGCATCAGACTTGCTTTTGGCATACTGTATTCTCTAACGTAAGCAACATGACCAAAAACAATTAATCAAATTTACACAGTTAATCTGAAAAGATTTCTATTCTTAAAAATCACACCTTTACTTTGATAGAAAACTTTCCTCGATTTCACCTTTCCATTACACAACATGGAAAAGCTGTTAACTACTGTTGGTAAAGACTGACAGAAGTACTCATTTTGACACCTTGAGGTCACCAATTTTTTCTTTGATAAATATTGTTCACATAAAAATTATACTGGAGAAATCAGAAATTCATTACTTTTATGAGCCCTTTGAACATTGAAAATAGCACTCTGAAGAATACTTCATCTCTATTTCGAGAAATATTTCAAAAAATACTTACAAATAACAGGTGAAACATGTTCTTCAAATCAGTAAAAAATTTTAGTCGTTCAAAATCAACACATCCCACACACTCCAATCAAAGGCAGAAAATTCATACTGTGTAATTTTTCCATATTGATAAGTAAAAAGAAATTTCATTAGCATAAATAACAATATATCAGAGGTGGTAAAATTTTCTGTAGACCAATAAAAACCCTAATTTGTCAAAATTGTATTACTTGCTTGCTTGGCACACACAGAGTTCTTAACTAGCTATAATTTCAAAGCTCAAACATTTGATATTTGAAAAATTAACACTTTCCAGTGAATTGACTTACAGAAAATTTTGGATGAAGATTTTCCAGTCAAATTTTCTCTTATTAATTATGTGAGAGATATTTTGATGCTCATGAAATTAACCACTGAATCTTTAACCCTAAAAACAATTTCTTCTTACTAAAGAAAAAAATTGTAAGTCTTAAAAAAAAAAAAAAGGAAAGAGAGAGGGAGAGCATGTAAAAGCAATTCTCATTAATGAGAATCCAAGGTTTTTTTTTTTAACAACTTCACTGTGGGAGACATTTTAATACATAATTCTATTAGATGCTTCTCTTGTGTCAGCACTCTTACCACTTTCACTCCTAGAAGTGATTAACTTGCAACTTCTCCTTAAAATATCCATGCGTAATCCAGCAAACAGGTAATGGGAAAACCCAAACTTATCAGATAGTTATCTTGATCTTACACCAAACTATTGTAACTAATATAAAAGGAAATGTGTAGCAGGTAAAGGGGAAAATTAACAATCAGATCTTGAAGGTTCAAGTGTTCAAAGGCATAACTTCCTTCTTATGATCAAACTACAACATGTATACCAAGACAGCTGAAGAGTTTGTAGGGGAGAATTACAAATAGGAAAGAATTAACAATTAGATCTTGAAAGTTAATGGGTTAAAAACTATAAGTGCCTCGTTATGATCAAACCACAACATACATACCGAGACAGCTGAAGAGTTTGCAGGCTTTAAAAGACAAAAACTTACCATTGGTTTGTCATAAAATGGAAACCCTTGCATAGAGCGCAGAGCATTGGTGGCGCTCGGCAAGTCTCTAAATACTACAAAAGCCTGACCCCTCATTTTGAGAGTTTTCAGTGCTACAATGTCTAAAATTGGACCAAACTGTGAAAATATGGCATACAGCGACTTCTTCAATTCTAAGGATGAGAGAAAAATGGCAGAATAAGGTAAACAATGTATAGAATTCAATCATGTTCAAATGACAGACATTTAGATCATATGGTAATATACCTGGTGCCATGTAAGACAAACAGGACGTCTTAAGTGATTGTAGTGTATTGGAAAGGGAACTTGGGTCTCTGATAATTCATGAAGTTGTGAAGTAATTGTAGAAAAAGCACTCTCAAGTGGGGATCAAGCACGGTGATTCATGTGGTCAAAAGAGCTCTCAGAATTCAGAATTTTTTAACAAATTTGCAGCTCTTGTTTATATATGGGTTGAAAATTACTATTGATTTTGCCATCTGTTTGTCTAGGAGAGTGTAGTTCTTACAAGGAATTTTGTTGCTGATTGACATTATGACAACTGAGTGGAAGTCACTAACAGAGTCAAGGGAGATGTTGTGTGAAACATGAGTTTGTTGGTGAGAGAGAAATAGTTCTGGCTACCACTAAGGAAGCCATAAAGCTGTTTGACTTGTCTTTTAAGTCCTTTTCTCTTTCCACAGGAGAATACTGGTGATTCGGATGATAGTTATTCTTCCAACAGAAAAATGCATGCACGCTCTCAGAGCAATGTCTCGTTTCTATCCCTCTCCCCCTTGAAGGATGTTGACTGCGCGGCCTAAGCGGCTAGTTGATTGAGAACCGAGTGGGTTCAGTCAGTGTTAGCAGTCTTTGACAGCATAATGAAACCAAAGGTAGAAATCAAATTAAAATTTTGAAGTATTTAAATAAAAGATGTTGGAATAACAGGTTCAACTAACACAGAAAGCGAATCTTAAGTTAAGTTTTGAACCGTAAATAACACGAATAGCTACAAGTGTAGGCCGGCATTAAAAAGTAAGTACACAGATGTCCACAGCCTTAAATTTTGAGTGATTCTAGTTTTAAGCGCATACGTATGTCACTAAGAAACCTTGACTGTAGTTCTCTCAGAGGCTGTGCACTTAAACGTGAAAGAGACAACAATAAAAAGGCCATATAACGCTACTTGTGTGTAGTGCATTCAGCTGAGGAACGTTTCAAACCGTTTCGCGCACTACAACTACGTACTGTACCTAGCTTTTTCGGTATGATAAACTCACCCTCCTTCTTGACCTTCTCGTTGAGGTTATTTATATAGATCGTTTGATTCGGTGGATTTTCCATTCTTATTCCTCGTTGCCCTTGAATGAACCGTTAACTATTTACGACGTACCCAGCTCGTTTGCAGAAAATAACTGAGTTGGCAAAAGGTCCGCAGAATACTCTTTTTCGGCGCAAAGATGAGAATCAAATACCTTTAACGACAACAAAGCGTCAAAAGAGTAGGAATAATGATAATTAAAAACCCAGATGACCAAAATTGGGATAAGATTTTCTAGATTCTAAAGTGTCGATGGAAGACTACACGAAACAACAAAGTCTCCACGTTTTGCAAGTATCTACCACATGTAAGAACCTCTGGACTGTACCGGCAAAAGATTTCCAAAGGTGCTCCGCAAAATGTTCCACTAGAGTCCAGGGAACTCCGATTTTCTTCAGTACTCGTTGGTGACGAAAGAAAATCTCTCGATTCTAAAGGAACTTAAATTCAGTTGCAAAAGCAATAACCATTTTGTAGGAAGAAAATTGAGTGAGGAGAGAAAAGGGGAGGGAAGTCGTTCGTCGCTGTTGACTTGCCCGTAGAACTGTAATGATGCAAGGAGCAAGAAAAATGTGGCAAACCTTTTATTGTAGAAACCCTAGAAATGTCCTGGTTTCCGAATCCAAGCTTAAGGAAAGTTTTCCTCTTCCTTAATATGCATAAATTTATCATGGGACCCCAGATGGAAAAAAAAAACTTACACGCACCTCGTATTGACTGAACTGTAAAGCAAGGAATACCTTTCAGTATTTTATTATGATTCGTCTAAATTAATAACTTAGACATCGTGGTGCCTATATCCAAGTACAAAAAATCCCTCGAAGGCTATTGTGTACCTCAGGTAACTATCAAGAAATGTTGCACTCGTTATTTGTACAACACAATCACAGAGAGCAATTGAGGCTTTCTGCGTCGTTGCAAAAATCGTTACGAACTTCGCAATCGTGATTCACTGGTATAGATTTTTTTCTCCTTTTCCTATTGCTGCTGCTTGTATACAATAATAAGATATTGAGGTCAAACCAGTACATTTTCCCCTAGTTTCCTCTGTGCTTTACATCGCTCGAGAGCTGGGTCGAGACAAACAGAAAACCACGTTGGCGAAAACATGTTATATTTTGTTTCGGCCTGACATAATGTTTTTGATACTCAGGTCATTATTTTGAGTATCCTCTGTGTTCCAAGACGTTAACTTCAACTTCACAAACATCACTTAAGAACGTTACTTATTAGATAGAAAAGTGACTACACGCCATACCCGTTACCAGAACGGGTAATTTATGTTTCAAAAACGTGAGGTTTGGTGATATCCAACACGTCCAGCCGGGTGGGAGTAGGAGAGGGCTTCCTAGAGAGAAGAAGGGCTTATTAAAAGAATCGAAGGGCGGCGTTTGACGCGGAAGGAAAAGTGGCGGCTAATTTAAACGCCTGGAGCGATAAGTAGACGAAATCAAAGTTGGTTTTTCTACATTACTTTAGACCCAGGATCATCATAATAGCAGTGACCAAAGGACACAAAGGACAGTCGTGTCTGAGTCTCTAATCAACTACCACTTATTTTAAATGTGGCCTTAGTACTGCTTTCAAATTATAGGTACGTAGTGAATGTATTAAGTGAGTGACTGACACTAGTTATCCCTTAAGCCGTGCCAGCGGCCTGTCGTTCTCTCTGTTCTCGGATGCGAACGTACGTCGCTTCGTTCAAAGTATCGCGGGCACGCCCTGTTTTGGGGTGTGAAGGTCCCAGCACCTGAACATGAAGCGTTAAAATAAATGTCAGCAAAAGCTGTAGCTTAATCTACCTTGAAAAGCATATCACAAATGAGAACTTCATATATTCTAAGAAAAAGATACAATTACAAAAGATACAAGCGGCCACTTTCACCTCCATACTTGACAGAGACAAGATTTTGCGATCAACAAAAGATTTAAGTAAATACTAACAAAAGGTACTCTTTGACTAGAAAGAAAATTCAGAAGAGGCAATCATAACCCAAGAACGAACCAGGACGGCTAAGGATGAGAAGGATTTAAAAAACGGCAAGTAAAATCCCTTTACACCTAAACACTGATCAGTATACATATTCTTCATACTGTTCTAAATACATTTCCAAACGTGCTGACATGGAGAATTTGTTTGACGATCAAGGGCCTCTCTAGTTTGTGATCATTCCTATATTCACTTTTCCTTGGTGTTTGATTCGGGGGTGATATTTAAGGAGAAATTAGATGCTGGTCGCTCTAGGGGGTCAAAGGTTAATCATACAGGATTTCTGGGCCGCGTAGAAGCTTCTTGGACAATGTGAAGTGTAAGACAGGGCAATTTTAAATAAACTTTTCCGTCGAACAAGCTGGACCATCATCACCGTTTTGTGTAGGTTTAGGCCGCTATATTACCCCGCCCTAGAGTAGCCTGTTCCAAGAGTTCAGTTAGTTTAATCAGTAAAACGTAGCGCGGCAGAAAACGGCGTGATACTGGGGACGAAGTGAAAAAAAGAGGGAGGTTTGGGTAGGGTCGCATAATGTGCGACTCGACCCAAGCCTCCCTCATTTTCGCACTGCCGCTACTATCGCACCGTTTACTGTGACGCTCTGTTTTACTAACGGAACACTTAAAACAAGCTAGCGCTACGGTCCCTTTCATTTCTGACCGAATCAAATGTCATTTCAACAATTCTCTCACCTCTTGACACGTTTCATGCCACTTAACGAAGTAATCATAGGCCTTCTGAAAATCTCTGTTGTCTTCGTATAGGATGCCAATGTTTAGATAAAGCCTCAGTGTCAACATATGCTTCTCACCGTAAGTTTTGAGACATAACTCAAAGGATCTGTTAAGCATCTGCACAAAACAAATGTTAAAATAAACGACGGGCTTGAATGTAAACTTGAGAGGGGAAAGGAAACACCGACCGTTTGGCATTCAATATTTTCAAGTTTCATTAGCGATAATCTGTGTTTCAAGGGAACAAATTTTTGCGGTTCGAGATGACTGATTATTGGGATTCTCCATTCATGAACAACGTGAACAACACATTAAAAGGAAAGGAAGGCAATCTTCCCAAATTTTCTCGCTGTCCGCGGTTCGAGATGTCCGAAATTTCTTTGGGAGCACTCAGCGAGAAGTCCGGGCCACGCCAGAAATAAGAAACAAACTTACTGACTCTCGACGCTCTCTCTTGACTCGCGCGCGACTGACTACGCAAGGAAAGAAAGGTTACCCGTCGTCTAAACACCAATTTGTAACCCACTCTATTACTAACATACGAAGTTCAACTAACAGTTATGAAGAAAGTACACGAAAAGTGTATTTCCATGAAATTTTGAAGACTGAGAAACTACTTCTTATACGACCAGGAGAGGACAAAACAAAAAAGAAAACGAAGGTAAAATCAAAGGAAGGGCTGATGAGATTGAAACTTCAAATACCTCTTCTTTTTCCTTGAAATATTTTCGATGACGTGGATTAATGAATGACTTGGTCATGATCGCCTCTGCCATGTGTCCCATGTCTCCATGCTACAAAGGAAAAGAGACAGAACAGGTTTACAAAGCAAGAAAACTACCAAAGTGAATTGAAGCAGGTATTGTCGTCACAATCCCAAGATGCCATTCTCTGCATGATCTAATGAGGAAGTTATCTCTAACACAGAGAGTGCTTATGTCACATCTCTCAAAATTATAAGGAGAGAATTACAAAGTGGAAAAAAAAAAAAGATATCTTACCCTCATGAAGATGTCGATGGCCTCATCTATATATTTGAAACAATCTCTTCGAGTTTGTTCAGAGTTTTGTGGCTCCAAGTCGGCCACGATACTCAGATGATGAGCAATGAGTATGTCAATCATGGCTGTCTTGTGCTGTGTGAACAACAAGTGAATGATTATGAGCTGACAATAAACAAAAGACAATAAACAACACCGTCTAGAATTCCCCGAGAGGGAGGAGGTGGGTACTCGAGGTAATTTTTCGGCTTTAACACCCTGACCCTGCTTGATGCAAAGTTGTTTACGAATCTCTTTAACTTGTTTGAGACGAAACACTTTGATAGAAAATGACACATCGATCTGATCTAGCCCTGACTAGCAAGAATAAATCTTGAAACGTTGTACCCTTCTTAGGAATAAAGACACGAAAACCATAAGCCGAATGATAGCATGCCCCGTTCAGGCCAAGTAAAAAGGGAGGGGAGGGGGGGGAAAGGATAAGAAAACTTGAGAGCAGTATATAATGGCAGAGGCAAAAATTGGACGCGTTTGTGTTGAAGGTTTATCATGCAAGATAGAATAGCAAGCTTTCGAACAACGTTAAAGCGAACAGTAATAACGTGACAAGATTTGCATTTGTTGTGAATGAGATATTTTTTACACTTATCGGAAACATTTGCAGATTAGAAAAGAAAAATGTTTGGTTGCATACCTCGTGTTCCTCACCACTAAGCTTTTTGCGATAACTCAGGGACTTTTTACAGAATTCAACGATTTCCTTGTCCTGTTCCAGTTGATCCATTGTCACGAAGTTGAAGTTCTTTACAACCTGAAAATAAAAGCCGCAATGTTCACACCAAGTAATGCAACATCATTGTTCCGCAATCAAAGAAATCTCTGAACTCAACACAACATGTTACAACGTCATGCAATCGCGACAAATGTCACGCAATCATCAGTTCACAAATACTACGAGTTACGCGTACCTCACTCTTGGTCTTGGACATAAGTTGATAGATGTCAGCCAGTTTGTCGGTTCGCGCGCCAAGACTTTCCTCTTCTAGTTTAAGCAAATCATTCAGCAGCAAGTGTGCGTCTTCATATTGCCCTGCTTGGATCCTGTATTGAAAAAAAAAAGAAACAATCGTTGCTCTTCATGTTGGACATGCATGTCCGTTTGTATCGCTGAAAGGGACTGGAAAGGAGCGACTAACGATATGCGACATCAGACAGATTCTAAAAAATATATTAGTGGCTTTCATTGACATGATCACAGGTTTATGACTTGTAAATTAGAATCACATAATGAAAAAGAATAAGCAAGGAGCGCTTGAGCCTGTTCCAGGTGATCAGAGCGATTGATAATTCCTATAAAAAATTCCTATGAGTTCGTCTGACGAAGGGCTAACGCTTGAAACGTCAGCTTTTTTACCCTTTACGGTGGCTAATTTACGTTTTCAACTCAGTTGTTAACACTAAATTACCTGCTATACTCTCCCACCGACGCAGCACCACAGTTTCTTTAGAAACTTACCCCTTTATTCTTAAGATGAACAGTTTAGTGTGAAGAACGACACTAGACGAGACGAGGAAACTTTTTTCTTGTCTTCCCCAAACCATAATTCAAGATTTCATTCACAACAGACTTTACGGTACTAACTTGTACTTCAGGGTGGAGGGAGGGGGGAGCCTGGGTGGGGAGGGTGTGTGTACTAAGCTACGTGGAGATTCAAGATCGAACAAACACTGTGTAAAGGCACACGCACTTCTGAGAAAATTGACGGAGTATTCCCCCTCCCCAGGGCCAGGCTTGCACAACCCTACAGACTGTAAAACCGTGAAAGAACTTATCCGTAACTTTTATAGGAATTCTCACACACCAGGGTTTTATTTATAACAAAAGCCATCTGGATAACAAATATTCATTAAGGTTTGTTTACTTACAAGAACATGACAACCATTTCACTTCTCTTGGCTATTTCTTCATTAGGGGCATTCGAGTCACGTAACACCGCTAACGATTCCTTATATAGAGCGGACGCTGTAGCATATCCACCAGCCTGTCACACAACGCATACATTTCATTAAATGTTTACTTGCTCACTGCACTCAGGATGACAGGTGGCGACCGAAATAGAAATTTTGTCAAAAGCGAAAAGATTCTAATACTGATTTGGAAACAAGGCATTGTTTCTCAACGCTATTCTGGTTAATTGACGTTTATGGAGAAAGCGTTTGGAAGGCAACAGCCGATATGTCACTCACGAGGCTGATATTAATTTTCCTGTGCAGTTCTATATTGAGCACTTCTGCATGATTTCAGTCAACGTTTTAAAGCAGAATATACACCCTGGGTTTATATACAAGTACATTAAATATATATTTTTATCAGTTACCTTTTGCCACGATCTGAGAAGGTCTATACTGAAGTCATCGTTAAAAAGCCGTCCAAATACCTCCCATTCTAATAAGCACCTTGTTAATCTGTTGTTGTCCAATAGCTGCTCAAGGTGATAAGGTAGTTCCTAACCAGGATATCAAAAAGATAGTTACACACCACACCTGAGGATGTACAATCAGAAACCTTAATCCTTCAACTCCTTAGAGTGACAAGCATCTAAGTTCTCCTTACAGTATTATTGCTCAATCAAACATAAGAGAATAAAGGAAATGATCACCTTTAAAGGAATACCTTGATTGCTAAAACAAATTCTCTTAGTCAGTACCATAAAAATGTATAGGGAACAGTAAGGGGAAGATGCAACCTGAAGTTACGGTGTGGAGGGGTGGGGTCGAATAAGAGTTATAAGCGAATATCGAAGAAAAAGCCATCTTGATAAAAAATTTGAATTAACCATTCAGAAGCAAAACTTCGAAAGCCAGAGTTTTATTTATTACTTTTCTCTAAGAACTCAGAGTGGTCCGAGGAAGATATACTTGACATGAATTTCTTCTGAGCTAATCGGCGCATGGGCACTCTGTAATCAGCTTCATATTCAATCTCGTATCCTTTCAATTCTTAATTTTGGTGAGACGAAAAAGTATCACCAAAAGGAAGCGGGATAATACGACAGGGTGATTAAAAAAAAACTGTGACCAAGTTACCAATGAAATTAGGCGAATAACTAATCAGCATTCAGAACAGGGCTCTTTCTACAGAAGTTTACCTCTGATTTGCGATCAAAATCTTCACTTCCTTCGAAGAACTCCGCGTGTTTTCCATGCCAGAAAGTATACTGATGTTTTGTATATCCCTCTGATCCTGAGAAATACCTTTGCATGGAGAGAATTTGACACAGTCATACTTGATGAAAAAAAATTAAATTGAAATCAGAGTCATGCTCAAGGGCTGTTATTTATTGTACAATCAATTCAAACCATTCACAATTATTTGAATTTTTTCCTTCTTCAGTGTTTGGTGGAAATACTGGTAAACTTAGGTGACCATCACCTTCTCCAAGCGGTAATCATCGAAAAACACTATCTTTGAAAAAGGTAGTGTTTCAAGCAAGTACGATACATGTGAGCGGATGTTTGACGTAAAACATTAAGATTGTCAAAGCTCTGTTTTAATTGGGTCTTAGACGAGGAAACTTCCTCCGGGAGTCTTCCTATCTACATCTACTCGGTAAAGGGTTGACTCCAAATGTTTAGTAAGGGACACAGAGGCTCTTATTATTGGGGTGAGGGGGAAACCTACTGTCGCGTAACAGAAGGACAACAACTCCTCCCTTATTGGAACAAACACATACAGAGTTACGAGCGATTAGAGGAGGGGAGGAAAAATGTCGTTGAAAAATACCCTATACTCACTTTCTCCTTACAGCTTTACTGATAGATCTGTGATAGAAATCCAATCTTCCCTCGCCCAAGTCTCCACACGGTCGAAGCAGCGGTTTCAAGGCTCGGTACACCAACGCCCATTTGACAGCCGGCAGAAATTTCTTTTCGTTCTTTTGTTTCCGGCCAGTAGCTTTTTTCGCTTCATCTTCCTTTTCTTCTTTGTCCTCGTCTTTCTGTATGTATGTCTCGTCCACCTGCTTGGCCAGTTTGTCTGCTACTGTTAGATTATGATCTGGAGCTAAAAGTTGAAAACAAACGAACGAATCAAAAAACAGTAATTAACATAAATAAATAATTGGGATGTAAGTTTCTAGAGAAACTGTGGTGCTGCGTCGCTGCGGGGTTTTACAAGACACTTTGTTTTTATCAACCGAGTTCAAAATGTAAATTGGCCACCGCAAAGAATTTCGAAAGCTGACGTTTCGAACGTGAGTCCATCGTCAGGCATCACCCACATGAAACTTGTGATACAGGTATTAATAAACTGTGAATAACAACACTACTTGAAAATTTACCTCGTTTACAAACATATTCGTGCGCAATTATTGCATTACAGATATCTAAATAATTGCTTTACTCTTTCCGCAAATTTGTTCCATTGTAATTTTAACTCTCAGCAAGAATCAAAGGAACGTCAAAGGAAGACATTTTCATAAAAGCGGGGCGCTTAACAATGATTTGATGATAAAACTAAATATTTTTTCCCTATTTTTCTCACTTCTGTATTTATAAATAACTTCAATCAGTAAAATGATTTTGTGTTAAGAATGAATCATTGTCAGTTTTCTTTTTCGGTTGAGCGAGGTGAACAAACTCTTTAGTTCAAAACCAAGGGCGTAACTAGGAGGGGAGGGGAATCTTGGGATCTGGGAATCCCCCCCTCCTTTGTAAGTTTCTTTTTGTCACATTAAGTAAAACGCGGTGTATGGAGGTCGACATGACAATCTCGTAAGTATCCTCTGTTTGACACAGAGTGGCAACCCTCCCCCTTTGGAAAAATCCTTAAAATACTTTGTTTCAATTCGATCCTTGGCATAACTTCTGTTTTACTGTGTTTGAGATATGTTGATGGATCATAATACCAAAATAGGACTAAGGATATAATGAAATTATTGACATAAATCCCTCCGTCATCTACGTGAAGTGGTTCAATAATTTATCGAATCTTTGACCTGCAACTTGAATATTTGGTATGAGGAGCCTGTGGGGAGACAAACGACTTCAGCTCACCTGAGTCAGTCGTTGTTGCTTCTGTTGTTGTGATCTGATCTGATTCACCCTCGACGTAGGGGGGTGGGGTAAGTGTGGATTCTTCCGCCAGCATCTGGAGCAGTTCTGTTTCCAGCAGACCGTGTCGTGACGTCTCCAATAGACATACTGTGGCTACTACAACTTGACCGCCGTTTTCTTCTTCAAACCGAGTCAGAACTTGTTCTTCCAAACTAAAAGTAATACAACAAACATATTTGACGTTTGCCAAGACAGGTTGGACTACTGCTATCCTTCATCGCTACAGCTGATGCCGTGGCAGTTACTCACCTAATCAGATCATCAGACAAACTTGCGATCTTTTCGTCCATTAGATTGAACACTCCGTACACCCTGAGCTCCTCACACGCCAGTGTTAACCATAAAGGATTTGCTGAACCCTGCTTCTCCAACAACATGGACATCTGTCTGTCATCCAACCGTTTGTTGTACAGTCTTAGAATGTTCTCAACGATAAGCTAAAGAAATAAAAGAAAAAGTAATAAGCCTTAACCAGTTCCATAAACTCAAGTTAAGAAACGCTAAAAGAGCTTTTCATAAGGATCGAGGATCGAGGATCGAGAATCGATGTTTCGCGACACCTGAATCTAGTTTTAAGAATCGAATATCAATAATCGAGTTTTTAAGTTCGACTCGAGTCTCGACTCGAGTGACCAAGTTTCAAGGGATTGTGAAAAATTTCAGCAGTTCTTTCATACCTTTCTAGACTGGTAATCAAGCTGACCACAAGTGATCTCTCTCGGTCCAGACTTATAGGATCTCAGGAGTCTGTGACATTCTGTGTCATTGATCATGGACAGCACCACCTTAACATTCGGTGAAAGGTTTTCCGGTAGCCACCTGGTTAAATACTGGATCTTATCATCGTCCATCTAAACAAAGAAAGACGTCACCTCTCCGTTAAACCCTTTTTGAAAGAAGCAAACCCTTTTCTTTGCCTTTGCTGCAGATCAACAAAGAACCCTTTAACTCTCATGAGTGACCGAGACATAATTTCTCCTTGCAATTTCAATACAAAATCAAGCAGACAGGTGATGAGAATAAAGGAAAATAACACTTATAGGATTATTAGTAGAGCTGATTAACATTCTCCCAACTGAAAAAGTATGTAAAAAGAATTGTATGGCAGACAGTGAGGGGAATGACTGATGAGATCTTTGGTGCGTAAGTGTTAAAAAAGTAAAGCAAATCTTGAGTTAAACCATGCTACAGTTGGTAAGTTTAAAACCCCGCGCTTCAGGAAGTTTGCTTGTTTTTACTTCGAGTTCTCATTGACTAAAAGAGATATTTTTCCTGCTATGATTGGCTGTTGTGATTGCTTTGGTTCAGGTTTTACGACAGTAAATTCAAAAGCACTCTTTTAATTTTGGGTTTCCTTCTTCATAAAAGCAAGTCTTTATAGTGGGAAAAAATAAGTACGAAGATAGTGAAGCAGCGCACCTGGTTAATAGCATCCACAAACACAACACAAGGCTTTGTGTTCTTATTTGACAAAAGACTGTTGGTCAGTTGAACTAAAGAGTCCAAGTCACTGACTACATCTCGCTACAAGATAAAAACACACAAAATTGGACGGGGAAATCTACGGACAGAGTACTGGTCTTTGTGATATGGAGA